AATTAAATAACATCCTCCTGAACAACCAATGGGTCACAAATGGAATTAAGGAAGAAATTATCCAGTTTCTACAGCTAAACAATAATGCCAGTAGAACATACTGGGACTTACAGGACACAGTGAAAGCTGCCCTATGAAGGAGATTTATAGCAGTGAATTCCCTTATCAGAAAAACAGTGAGCTCAAATAAGCCTAATATTGAACCTCAAGCCTCCAGAGAAAGATAAGCAAGTCCAGCCCAAAGCTTATATGAGAGAGGAAATTATAAAGATCAGGCCTTGAATTAACGTAATGGGGACCAAGAAAACAAAAAGAATCAATTAATTGAAGAATTGGTTTTTTGAAAGATTAAATAAAATCAACAAATCCTTAAACTTATTTTTTAAATCTTTTAAAAAAAATTTATTGATTGATAGAGGATCTCACTATGCAGTTCCAACTTGTAGTAATCCTCCTGTCTCAGTCTCCCCAGGGCTGGGATTACAGGTATGGGCCACCACAGGCCACCATGCCTGGTTTCAGGGTGTCACAGCATGCAGTACTAGGGATCAAACTCAGGACCTGGTGCTTGCCAGGCAGGTGCTTATGTTGCTCAGCTATCTCTGCTGTTCCCTTAAACTTATTTTTTTAAAAAAAAAAAAAAAAAGGAAAGAAAAGGCTCAAATCCATGCAATTAGGAATGAAAAGGGTGAAGTTACAATGAGTCCTACAGAAATCCAAAAGACTATCATTCCTACTTTGAGAACATTCCTATTCTTTTTTTTTTTTTTTTTCCTGTATTTTAGGGAAGGGTCTACAGGGCGTTCAGAGTCTCACTACTAGATCAGACTCATAGTGATCCACCTGTTTACAGTCTCCCAAGAGCTGGGATTACAGGTGTGTGCCACCACGCCCGGTCTCAATCACTTTCTCAGCACACCCCGGGGGTGGGGCCTGCACAGCAGGCCCAGGGATCAAACTCCCAGCTCCTGTACCTGCTTGTAGGTACTTTAATCCACTGAGCTATTTGGTCACCCCAATAACTTGTATCCTAATAAGATGGAAAACACATAATACTGGACAGAATCCTAGATACATAGGAATCGCCAAAGCTAGTCAAGAAGATATAAACATCCTAATAATAACCCAATATCAGTCAATGAAATTGAAGATGTAATTAAAAATCTACCAAGAAAGAAAAGCCCAGGTCTTGATGGATTCACTGCTGAATTTTATAAGAAAGCTAGAAGGCCAGGGATATAGCTCAGTGGCACAGTACCTGCCTGGCAAGTATGAGGTCTTGAGTTCAATTCTCAGTATCCTCCAAAACAAAACAAGCAAAGAACAACAAAACTACAAGAAATTCCTATAAGAAATTTAGAGAAGAAAACTTAGTTCTCTTTCCCACCTTGCAAGATGGCGGGTGAAAAAACTGAGAAGCCAGACACTAAAGAGAAGAAACCTGAAGCCCAGAAGGCTTCTGCCAGTGGCACTGGTAAAAACGGTAAGGTGAAGAAGGCAAAAAAGTCCAAGAAGCGGCAGCTCCACTGCAGCTAAAATCCTGTCCTGGTTAGAGGAATTGGTAGATTCTCCCGATCTGCTACGCATTCCAGAAAGGCTTTGTACAAGGGAAAGTATATAGGTGCTAAATCAAAGGTCGAGAAGAAAAAGAAGGAGAAAGTTCTTGCTGTGATCACAAAACCAGTCGGTGGGGACAAGAATGGAGGTAGCCGGGTGGTTAAGCTTCGAAAAATACCTAGATACACCCTACTGAAGATGTGCCCCGAAAGCTCTTGAGCCACAGC